GCATTCACAACTTCTGGAGGCAAGTTGTTCCACTGATTAATTGTTCTGTCAGGAAATTTCTCCTCAGTTCTAAGTTGCTTTTCTCGATTAGTTTCCACCCATTGCTTCTTGTCCTGCCCTCAGGTGCTTTGAAGAACAGCTTGACTCCCTCTTCTTTGTGGCAGCCCCTGAGATATTGGAACACTGCTGTCATGTCTCCCCTATTCCTTCTTTTCACTAAACTAGCCATGCCCAGTTCCTGAAACTGTTCTTCATATGTTTTAGCTTCCAATCCCCTAATCATCTTTGTTGCTCTTCTCTGCACTCTTTCTAGAGTCTCAACGTATTTTGTAACCCTTGAGCAGGGGGTTGGCCTAGAAGACCTCCAAGGTCCCTTCCAACTCTGTTATTCTGTTAACATCCTATGGTGTCTACCCAGATAATCTTCTCATATAAGGTTTTTCATTGGAAAAGGCATGGCATAGATTAACTGTGGAAGTGGATGGAATTACAAAACAGCAAAGGTATTTCTGAACTGCAGCTGAAGAGATGTTTGGACCATGCTTTCATTGCTAAATGCTCTGGAAGTATAGTCACTATGGAAGAGAAAGCAATATTACAACTTGATTGTTAAGGACAAGTCAAAGTGTTAGATCGCGGGAAAAGAGACTCGAGACCAGTGTGACTTTCAGTTCTTTATTTAGTTCCTAAAATCTGTTCTAACCGCAGAGCCGCGGCAGCCTCTTTTATGACGGCTGCTTCGCGGCTTGCGGCCAATGATGGCTCCTTGAATCTCCCGCCGTCCAGACGGGCCAATCACGGGTTAGTAATACGGCCCAATCAGAATAGGGTAAAGGGGCCAATCAGTAAGCTGTATCGGTGGACCAATCGTATTGCAGGATTACAAGTATGCTAATATAGAACACCCCTCCCCTCTTGGTTTAGTCCATCCTACGTTACGTAGTCACGTAAGTAGGCGGGGCTTTTAGGGTGGCTACTTGACCTGCACAGTTTAGTTGCGTTGTTGTCTTCGGCCGGTTCGGACGGGATCTCTGTTGCTCCTGTCCTTCTCTGTGGAACCTCCTGGAAGGGTGAGTCAGCCTTGCCGCTCCTGCCTGGTCTACCCGGGCTGATTGAGTCGGCCATGCCGCTCCCACCTGGCCTGTCCGGGCTGGTAGAATCGGCTCGGCTGTTCCCCTCCGGAGTGGCTTTGTGTTGGTTTTCCGCTGCCTGCTCCTTTCTACCGAAGTCGTCTTCAGGTAAGTAGTTATGGTTTCTTACTGGGGTTTTGGGTGATGTTGGTTGGTGGTTTATTGTTGGAGTTTGTTGTGTTGTTTCTTGTGTTGGTGGAGGGTCTCCCCCTCCCCTTTTATTTGTGCTTGAGGGGTCTCCCCCCCTCTGGTTTGGTTATTATTATTTCTTAATGTTTGGCAAGGTTCTGGCGTGTGTGTGTGTTCTTCTCCTTCCTGGTTTTATTAGGGTTTCTTTCTAGTGTTTGTGATCTTAGTTGATCTATGTGTCTCCTCCAGCTTCTTCCGTCCTCTGTTTCTAGTCTATATGATCGGGGGCCTGTTACCTGTGTTATTTTGGCGGGTATCCACAGTGGGATACGTTTTTTGCGTAGACTAGGTCCCATGTTCCGAATGTGTGGTGTTTGCTGGAGGACTCTGTTGGTTTTTCAGGGCTGTATGTGGGGTGAAGTCTATCCAAGTGTGATCTTAATTTCCTGCCCATTAACAGTTCGGCAGGGCTTTTATTTGTGGTGGTGTTGGGTGTGATATGTTGTATGGCTAGCATTTTGCAGATTTTTTCTTGGATGTCCCCCGTGTCTAGTTTCTCTAGGGTCTCTTTCGTGTACTGAACCATGCGTTCCGCCTGCCCGTTCATAGCCGGCCGACCCGGCGCTGTCAGGGCATGCCTTATGCCCAGTTCTGCGAGGAATTTTTCAAATGTCAATGCCGTGAATTGCGGCCCGTTGTCTGAAACCAATAAGTCCGGCAACCAGTGTGTTGCGAACAGCTTCCTCAGCTGTCTGATGATGGCTTCTGTGGTTGTGGAGTTCATGGTGCTTACTTCCAACCAATTTGAGTAAGCATCTACTGTTATTAAAAAAGTGTGTCCCTTTGTCAGTCCTGCGAAATCGATATGGATTCTCGACCAGGGTCCCCTCGGTGTTTCCCAGCTGAGCACCGGCGTGGCAGGGGGTATAGGCCTGGATTTTTGGCATTGGTTGCACGTTCCCACCCATGTCTCTATATCCTTGTCCATCCCTGGCCACCATACGTAACTCCTGGCCAGGGATTTCATCCTTACTATTCCGTCATGCAACATATCCAGCACTGCTTCCTGTAATATTTCCGGTATGATAACCCGATCCCCCCATAGTACACATCCCTTCAAAATCGAGAGCTCAGTTTGCCGGTTATGGAATGGTTTAAACGTCTCGCTGTTATCGGTTTCCGGCCACCCTTTACCTACCCAGTTTAAAATCCGCGCCAGCTGTCTGTCTCTTGCGGTTTCTTTCGCAATGTCCGACGCGGTTATGGGCAGGCTGGGTAGAGTCTCGATTTTTAGTGTGGATGTGGTTGGTGCCGGGTCGTCTTCTAGTTCAGGTAGGGGAGGAACGGCTCAGGGCGTCAGCATGTGGTATGCTCTTCCCGGGCCGGTGGATTAATTGGTAGTTATACGCGGCAAGGAACTCGGACCACCTTGTCATCCGTGGTGACAATATGTTTGGGGTGGCCTTGTTCCCTGAGAGTATCCCCAAGAGTGGCTTGTGGTCTGTAATGAGCGTGAAAGTCCTACTGTAGATATTCATGGAATTGTTTTATTCCGGTGATCGCTGCTAACGCCTCCTGGTCCAGTTGGCTGTAGTTCCTTTCTGCCTTGGACAACGTCTTGGAGTAGAATGGGATCGGTGCTTCTCTCCCATCTGGTAGTGTGTGGCTGAGTATGGCCCCGATGCCGAACGGTGATGCATCGCAGGTCACGGTCAGTGGTAGGGTTTCGCTGTATTGAATGAGTACCGATTCAGATGTCAGTAAATCTTTTATTCCTTGGAACGCGGCTTCCTCCTGTCAGCCCCATGTCCAGGTAGCTGTCTTATCTAATAGTCTATGCAGCCGTTCCGCCGTTGTTGCCTTCTGCGGCAAAAAAACATTATAAAAGTTAATGAGTCCCAGAAATGCTTGCAGATCTGTTTTGTTTTGTGGTCCGGGGGCTTCTTTAATAGCTTTTCTTTTCTTTTCTTTTCGGTGGGGTGGATTCCTTCTTTATCAATTAGGTACCCCAGGAATTCAACTTTCTCGGTGGCTAGCTGGCATTTTTCTTTTTTTACTTTGAGTCCCGCCTCTTTAAATCTTTGTAGGACTTCCCTGAGGTGGCTTTCCAATTGGTTTTTGTCCTTAGCGGATACCAGCACGTCATCGAAGTAGGGCACCACCCCTTTAATTCCCTGTAATAGGCGCTCCATCAAGCTTTGGAACACCCCTGGGGCCACGCTGACTCCAAATTGCAACCTTTTGCATTTAAATGCCCCCCTGTGGGTCACAATGGTTTGTGCCTCCGCTGTCTCGGAATTGACAGGCAATTGCTGGTATGCCTGAGCAAGATCGAGCTTTGTGAAGACTCTTCCTCCCCCCAACGAGTGTAACAGATGTTGCACCACTGGAACGGAGTATGCGCTTTGTTGCAGCGCGTGGTTGAGGGTGGCCTTATAGTCTCTGCAGATGCGCACGGACCCATCTGGCTTAATCAGAGTCACAATTGGGGTTTCCCACCGTGCATGGTCTATCGGTTCCAATACCCCTTGTGCGATGAGCTTATCCAATTGCTCATCGATCTTTGGTTTGAGTGCGAAGAGGACTTGCCTTGCCTTTAAATGGATTGGGGCTATGTTTGGGTTTAAATTAAATGAAATAGGGGACCCTCGGTACTTGCCTAGTTTCCTTTCGAACACGTCTTGGAAGTCCCTCATCAGGCTCTCCTCCCAGTCTGTCTCGGTGACGCTGTTTATGCCAGTTACTTCGATCGCCAGAGGCGCGAACCATTCTAGCCCCAGCAGGCTTGGGCAATCCCTGTCCACGATTGTCAATGGTAGGATTTCTGAGTGTTTTTTGAATGTTACTTGAAAGTGTCCGACTCCGACTACGGGTATTCTGTTCCCTTGGTAGTCCTTTAAGGTCAGTCTTTGGTTTTCTAGTTCTTTTCTCCGTATGCTGGGCATCAGGTGCTTGATTGTGTCCCATGATACCATAGACAGGTATGAGCCGGAGTCCACCTCCATCTTGCATTGTTGGCCTTCGATGTTGACCTGCACATGTACCTTTTGGGCATCGGTCACGCTTGAATGCCCAATGGTTATCGTTTGGTGGGTCTCTTCCTTCCGGTAGGTCTCGTTGAGCCGTTTGCTTCTGTTGTCTCGGCTCCAACGGCTCCCTGTCTGTCTGTCTCGGTTCCTGGGGGGGGAAGGGGTGCTGTCTCTTCGCCTAGGGCTGTAGCTCTTTTTATTTCGGCAGATCCTAGCGATATGTCCCAGTTTCTCGCAGTGCCGGCAAACAGAGTCTAGAAAACGGCACTTGGAACGGGGATGGTCTCCTCCGCACCCGGTGCATTGGAAGCCCGACTTACATTCTCTCCTCTCCCGTCTGTTCCGTTCTGACTGGAGTCTGTGTATTTCTTCCTCCTCCTCGTCGGTCTCGGATAAGGACTCGACGTCCTCATGGTGCGCGGTAGTGGTGGTGGTCTTTTGGGTGCCCTCTGGTTTCTTTTCCAGGGTTTGGCTTGTCTCTGTCGGTGTCTGTTGGGTCGCCGCATTCATTTGCCGCATGGTGGCTGCTGATTTTTTCATGGCTTCAGCTGCCGTGGCCTCAGCGATGGCCTCGGTGACCGTGATGTTTGGTCGGGTCAGCAGTCGGCTATGTAACGTGAGGTCCCTCAGTCCGAGGACCACGCGATCTCTCATGGCTTCGTCCATGTTGAGGAACTCACATGCTCCTCCGATGTCCCTCAGAGCCGCTACGAAGTCCCCGACGCTCTCACCTTCTTTCTGGTCCCTTTTATACAATTCATGTCTCCGGATAAGATTGGAGACGGCAGGCGCGTAATGGTTTCTCAGTAGCCTGTTCAAATCCGGCCACGCCATCTGTTTAACGTCCTGTGGTTTGGCCAATGCCTTGGCCATTTTGAACACTGTGGGCCCACAGTGTGTCAGGAACACGGCTCTCTTTCTTTGATCAGTGATCCCCTGCAGTTCGTTGCTCTCGAGGAACATGAGGAATCGGTCGATGTACAATTCCCAGTGCTCTGCCGTTGGGTCGAATGGTGCAGGTGGCGAGTTGCTGCCGGCCATCTCGTCGGTTGGTCCGTCCTCGTTGCCACGTGCTCGACTGGTCTCCTTTGTTTCAGGATCCCACCCTCGTCGCCAGTGTTAGATCGCAGGAAAAGAGACTCGAAACCAGTGTGACTTTCAGCTCTTTATTTAGTTCCTAAAATCTGTTCTAACCGCAGAGCCGCGGCAG